ACGAGCATAAAGAAAAATTATTCCAGCGTAAACTGCTGAAACATTTCTAAAATTCGAACGCAATGCAGATGGCTCATAAGAAATTTTGAAAACAAAACGTTCGATTAAACGACGAAAAGTACTTTTATCTCTCTGGCATGCAAATGATAGAAAAGAAAATTTACTACGCGAAAATCAAGCATTTCTTGAAATGAAGTACAAATTTAAGACATCCGAGGTAAAAGTCATACTGTATATTGTCATTTCATCAGCTATTTTTTTAAAGAAGGGATCCCTTGCAATTGATGCAGACACGTACCAAAACGAATATCTAAAGAAAATTCTCATATCTTTTCCTAACAGGCATCAGCAAAATGACGAATTAATCTTTTGGCTTGACAAAGCTTCGTTTCACTGCGCAAATTCGACGATGGAGTTCTTCAAATCCGAAAACATTCCTTTCCTACTCAAAGAACACAATCCGTAAAATCTGACACAATGGCGGTCAAATGAGGATTTCTTTGGATATTTGGCACAAATTTCTGGAATTTTATAACTTTAGTACTGAATTTATTATAAAACGATACTTTAGTGTTTCCTTCAAGATTTGGTCCTTTAAGTTACGATTTTGGCACAAATTTTACTGTAATATTGGTTAATTGCTAACTCCTGCTCCTTGGTTGTGAATATGTGCATAAAAGTTAAATGATCCGAGCCTATCTTGACCTCTGACGGACCATAAATAGAACCATGCATTCTTCTTATTTACGAAAATTCCAAATTGCACCACCTCGATAGAGCCAAATAAAGATGAATGTTTCTATATAGAGAAGAGTATATTATACCATTCTGAAAAACCATGTATTTAAACCTGGAGGGGAAGAATGTATGAAAAGATGACTCCATTGATTCAATCCTTCAATATGGCTCCCTAAAAAAAGTGCAAATGTAGAAACTTAAAACACTTTCACTTCCTTCATTTTTTGCTTTTTGATGTGGTTCTCCCTTGGCCATTGCTTGGAGATGAACAGATTTCTAGGAAAAGCAATGACAAACGTAAAGAAATCATCAAGGAGTAAAAGAAGCCAAAATATCTTCGAGTTATACGAAGCGTTGCCACCACTCGCTAAACACACGTTCTTTACAGACAGAGTGAAAGAAGCAATTTACACTAGTGAATATTCAGAGAATCGAAGAGTTTAAATTATCTAGATGAAGAGATTTAAGTGTGTATAACCGGTCACAAAAACAAATTAGATGAGAGGATGAAGAATGGATGTGCAAATAAAATCATGTACATACAGTGGTTCGAAAGTCAGTTAACAGTTTTGTTAAATTTTCGAGTACTGTACTTATTTGAGGATGATACAAAAGTTTCTTGGTATAACTACATATAGGTTTAATTTGTGTATCAAACTAGTAGTATCTCATAGCATCCATAAAAGGGAGAACGAACAGGGAGCAATTGAATCATTATAATGTGTAATCGGTTTTTGGTCCATCCCTTATTACTATTGATATAAATGAAAGTAAATAGATAACATATGACCGATAACTAGGCTTACCAGACGTCCCACTTTGATCGGAACTGTCCCTGCGTCCGGCTAGTTCGTCATTTTGTCCCGGTTATTTGGTAAAATTTAAAAAGTGCCGAATATACAAGAAAAGAAAATAGTTCAGCCTCGGGTAAAATGGCGATTTAACAACTAAAATATCCCTTCCGTTACACTCACTGTTGCCAATCTAAATAATTTGTACTGTATCTAGATCTAAGTACTTTTAACGTTGTCTAGATGCTTCCCCCACAATTTATAGCATGTCGCCTAATGATTTCGATTTTTTATTTTTTTTACAGAATTTATAATAGTACGAGATCCAGATATTTTTATTTCATTTTATAGATATTTTGTTTCAATTAGAGTTGGTAACACTGAAACACACTGGCACGTCACGTTCTATCTTACTTGAATTCAAATTGCTAGTCGGCATTTGCGATTATTTTGAACTGTACATTAAATTTATTTTTTGCATTTTGGAGATTAAATTAACTGTATTTACTGATGAATTAAAAAAGATTATAATTGTCCGGTTTGACAAAAACACGTGATAAACAATAGCGATAGGAGAAAAACGTTCATTTTTTTAAAATGTTTTAATCAAGTTGTTTTTTAATGATTCTGAAGTTTATTCGTCTCCCCAGCTGATGAAATCTCCACAAATTATATTAAAAAACTAACTACAGAAACATTAACATGGCAACGGTTGTTGAACCTGTTCGAAAATATTGGCATTTGCTCGATGGATTAACGCGTCGTACTGGGTAATTTCGATTAATGTTGCTTAATTTATGGGACGTTGATCCTTCGGGTAGATTTAATCCTCGATAATAATTCTGGTCAGAGATTGCAGTCTGATCGTTATAACTTGAATATAATCGCCGATTAAACAAATAGTTTATATTTAACTGATATATATGGCATTATTTTGCTGAATGATCCCGGATCAGTTACGTTAATTCAGATAGAAACGTAATAAGAGTTGAATGTCCCTGTTGCATTTGGCTCCAGTTTCCTTTGTTGACATACATTGATTAAAAAAAAAAAAAAAAACATTTCAGAGCATATTACCATCCAAATTTTAGATTGAAACTATCATTTTCAAAGTGCACATTTACAACCACATGTATATTTATGAAGATTATCATGTTGATCACACATTCATGTTTTGTCGCCATTAACGTATATTGTATTTCATATTTTTCCATCAAAACTGTGACTTTTGGAATCGTTTAAGTATTAAAGGTATTGCGCTGTTTGTAATCATCAGAACAATCCGTAAATTCCCGCGACTATATACTTTACGGTACTTTGCACACTTAAACGAATCGTGTGTGATATTTAATATTCTTTTTCAAATAAATTTTTGAATTAAATTCATAACTTTTTCGATATATAAGCAAAATGGGCTATAATGTAGTGTCGCAATCTGTAGTTAATAGATTCTGCGTGTTGCTGCACGCAATTTGCATATTAGCTGTAAGAATTTTTTTGGGTTGATAATATAATTGATCAATTAACCCTTAAAAATAGGCTAATAGAAAATATCTGCATCTACGCAATGACAGATTTTTAATTATTATAAAAAGCTCAATCACCTATGTAAATGCTTGAGCATATATAATTTAACCTTGTATGGGAAAAAACAAGATCGACATCATTTAAATTTGTATCACTTGTTGAATTCATATAAACTAAACAGAACATTTGAACAATGGGCACTGACGTGAACACAAAATGGCCGTTGTTTAGTTATGTATGCATCTCAAAAAGAAACGTTCCCGAAAAAAATCGCCGTCGATGAGTACGACTGTACTAAAATGTCATTCGAAAGACGTTTGTTAGCCCACTTTATAGGGTTGATTAATCAATTATATTAATAGCATAAAGGTGGTTTAATTTTTTAGAATATAAGCCTATAACGTCCTTTTAAAAACACGTTCAACGTTATCGGGATGAGGAAACAAATTTAGTTAGAATGTAAATTGTCTAAAAGATTTACAACTGTCCTGATTTGCTACAAATAAATTCGGCTATTGAAATGACTTACTAAAATCAGATAGCCCATAAAAAATCGTGCAAAACACGGATTAATCTCTACGATCTGCACGTTATTCCTATTAACATTTCAACAACCTCCTCACTCCCAACTAATATAATACACATTTATCTTTTTATAAAACAAGAGTAAACTTTTTACAAAGTTATCATCTCGGCAAGGTTTTTTTTTTCATATTAACACAAGATAAAGTGGCACATAAAATGATAAATTTAGTTGAGACACGCCATAATTGTGTTATCACACCACGCACGAAGAATAAAAATGTCGGAAAAACTAGTCCCAAACATTAACTTAGATTTCATTAATAAAAAAATTAATATATTTTTTAATTCGGTATATCAATTTGAATATTTATGAAACAGATTAAAAATTATTTTAAGTAGCAGTAGATTTAAATCCTGAAAAAGCTGTACTGGACATACTGTACAGTACATCGTAGTGGCACCACACAATATGATGTACAGTACTTTATATTAGATTCTATAATGGCAATAAGCATATTTCTTAATGAAGAATCAAGTTCTTTCCACATTCCTCGAGTTTTCGCGAATCAGCAATTCCGTAACACCAATAATGGTTTATTAACGTTCGTCCATTCTCCACACATCCTTCAAGCGGACCAACTTCGTGTGTAAAAGTAAACTGATCCACTTTAAATTCTCTTGGAGAATATCCATCTATAAAACGGCTCCTTTCATATACGTTCACAAAGAATAATGGACAAAGATGAGATACTTTGTAACAGATTACTTAACATTTGGATATGACATGTCATAGACAGATCATCTAAGGCAGAGGTCCCCAACCTTTTTATCGCCGCGGACCGGTCAACGTTTGATATTTTACCGCGGCCCACTGAGGGGGGACTTTGATTGTTTATATTTTAGATTGATTTAATTTAATAATTTTAATTTAATTGTATTTAAACATGCCTTCAAAATAAAATATAGTTACACCAAAAAATGAATATAATGTGATTTAACATTTTAACTCACTAGAACGTTAAATCAATGAGAACCCTGAGCTTGTTTCTTTGCAACAAGACGGTTCCATCTGGGGGTAATAGGAGACAATGACACCCGAAGTGTGTTTCTTATGTCCAGTTTATTCCGTTGTTCCGTCGTCCATTAAAAGTCGCACAAACCCGAGAGAAATACACCATAGTAAATAAAATGGAAATACCAGTAATTTAATGTTCCTTGGGCGGCTCGGGGGTTGGGGACCACTGATCTAAGGAAACGAAGACGAATGATTTACAGAAGAAATTATTATTCAAAGATTAGTAACGAAAGCGCAACAAGCGGGATATGTTGCTTCAATGTTGCACGTTATTAAGACATACTCATTAATTTTTTAACGCTTTAAACGATATTTAAAAAACATAACTCAACAAGCATATATTGTTATAAACTGTTCTTTATTATTTTTCACTGTTACAGCAATAAAACACATTTAAGATAACTTGGAATTGAAAATAAACACGATAATCATCGCGATTTCTGCTCATCATAGTAATAATAATAATATATAGGTATATATCTCGATTGAAAAAAAAAAAGAAATGTCTTTTAGAACGTCGACCATCAACGAGAAAATTATCAATTTAATTTATTTTTAACTCGTTTTTCTCTTGGAAGCCCCTATCGAAAGAATCCCCCTCCTCCATTGCAGCAATTTTTTTGAAAGATTTCTGAATGAGCGCAATTTAAACGGACCAAAAAATCCACTCCACTGTATTTTTAGATAAAGCAATCGAATTTTTTTTTATATTTAAATTCAAAGCGTTTAATTACCGTAGACTGTTAATGGAAACGTAAATTGAGCCGCATGTGGTGTAAACAGCCACATTTGTTTCTCTTCTCCCGCATCTGATGATGATCACACCCGAGTAATTCAATAATCTCCAAAAGTTCCAACACAAGTACATCGCTTAGAATTATTATTATTATGGTTTCTTTTTTTTTCTTAAACAAAACTTTACCAAAGACTCCAAATACTGTATTCTGGACAACAAATATATATATATATATGTATGTGTGTCTGTGTTTGTGTATATATATTACAGTTGTGTATTTTAAATCGTTATCATTCTGTTAAGGCATTAAAACATCACGTATAATTCCAATCTACTGACAGAAAATAGTCCCATTTTCTTTCTTCCATCGTCTACAATTCGGGGAAAAATTTGCTTTTTCTAGAAAATTTTCGCAGCTTCAACGGGAAATTTCTGTAGAACCAACCGAGAAGAATTACAGAAAACTTGGTAAAGATATTTTATATATATAATATATATTAAACAAATCACATCTTGCTCATGTTGCATATACAATATATATTTACATAAAACGTACACAAATATTATATGTTTTTTGAATTTTTCCGGGATAGAACTCCCTTCTTAAACTAGAATTTCGATTATAAATGTTACCAAATGGCATCCCTTTAAAACAGCACCTGGGTTTTCGGGTCCTGTATCCATCACTCTTAGAGAAAAATTGGCCAAGAGCAGACAAGTAAGACAACGAATAAAATGGTTGTTGATCCCCATAAAATAAAAAAAAAACAAACAAAAAAAATTGTGTTCCTGCCGAAGGAAGAAAACTGATGGACACGATCCGAAATTTTAAGTTTTTGTTTTCTTTTTTTGATGCGTGGCACAGGAGGGCAAAAGCGAACAACAATCTCTCGTTTGGAACGGAAAACAATGTGGAATATGTAATTTTAACACTGCAAAAACCTCGTTAAGAGGCCCCTTATGCCAGCGGAACGTCGAGAGATACGAAAAAAAGTTCTGCAAACATTTTGATTTTTATTTTCGTAAGCGACGATGAATTTACTTCCAACGTTCGCGTGTTTATCCAATGAAGACGGGCGCATTTTTCACTTTTTTTTTTTTTTAAGAACAAAATCTATGGCTTTCACGAAAATACAAAGTTTAGAAATAAAAAACGGCGATTAGAAAAATACCATTCTAGATTCTAAATTAAGTAATAGAATAATCTTTTTTATTATTTATTTTTTTATATTTTTCTTTGTGTGTGTGTGTGCTCGTATGTGTGTGTACGTCGAGTTTTCACTTAACATTTTTCACTTAGACGAACTCGTAACGGTTCTCGAGACACCTGAGGAGTAGAGGAATTGATCTAAGCACACGCCAACGAGTAAATTCTGAGATCGGGACGGGTCACGGCTGACCTGTTATTAAGAAAACAAAAATTTAAAAAAAATAAACAAGAACTGTCTTTCTCGAGCACCGACGTATTGTTCGACGTGGTCAACCCCAAAGATTTTGGTGGAAAGATTCACTCTACGGATGAAATATCCTTTTTGTAGTAGGCGTATCCCGTTTGCACGATAGAGTCACAACAGTGTGGCCAGGTGCAGCACTTCGCAAATGTCCTCGCTAACCTGAAAACAAATTGGAAATTCGTTAATTTTAGAATGACTCGTTTATATAGTCTATAAGTCAGTTAACCGTGTTTTACGGTTCGAGTACATCCGCGGATAGAAATCATTTTTTTAAAGCAATTTATTCTTCACGATGATGAACCGACTTTTGCACCACTCTGCATATATCACTCGCGTAACAGAAAAGAACTGTGTAATTTCTCGTAGAGAATCAGGGTAATTAATGTCTACTCAATGGAGGAAGAAAAAATTTTAATTTAACCACAAACGAAAAAATTCCCACTCGCTTCGGGCAAATACTTTAGTTTTGTGACAGTATTTTAATCGAATTTCCGCGTGAAATTCTTTTTGTTTTATTATTCCTTTCTCACTTTTATTACAAATATTTCACTTCCAAACTCAAAAAGTGCTTATGTACCCGCCAACTAATATGCAGATAATGTTAATATATCACGTATTCTAAATTTAAACACATTATTGCCACATCACTTACTATTCCCCTTTTCGATGCATCACAAGGTAAACAAGTATTGTTTGTGTGATATAATAGGAGAACTATGTGACTACAGGTTTGTCTTGAATGTATGAAGCACTGTCTACATTTAACAATTAAAAACACTGTAAAGTATCAGGGAGAAGAGCTCGAGTAAATGTTTTTTGAAGCTTCTCGTCTCTATATTAACTCCATTTTCCTACTAAACTGGCCTGTATGGAGATGGGCACATTTTTATATAAGTCTCCCATAGAAAATATAGTCTGTGGAAGCATGCACTTTATTAAAATGGGATAAGTGGTATATTCTCACAAGATGCGGGCAAATCTAGACAGAACTTATACATTTGTAATTAGATAGTGTACTTTAATTATTAAAGATGCAGCTGTTCTAGCACCCTGTAATTTACAGCTTGCAAATGTGATAAATTGGCCTATGGACAATAATAAGTATTTATTAAAAAATGGCATTGTTAAATGGAAAATGAGAATGTCTTCAAGAATGGATCTTGAAAACTACATGAATTTGTTTTCTAGTTTTTACATTTAAATTATGTTTATTTTAATGTTAAGAGGAGGTAAAGGAGCAAGGAAATAATCAAACTTGTTATCTTGTACTATAAAATAAGAGAATTTCTGTATAAATTTTAAAGTAATTTTAGATATTAAACCATAAAAAACAGAGTGGGAAACTTCTGGCTATGTGAGGCTCTCTCTGGCTTCTAGTATAGTCTGAATAAATATAAAATGGCATAAATTTAATTTCCATCATGCATTCTCAGTTATTTAAGTATATTTTTTGTTCTATTTTTCAATAAAGACTATATACTAATAAAACACACACACAATATATAAATGATAGACTCATATTTAGTGTTTTATGTACCTATTCTGAATGTAAGTATCCTCACTTTTACAACCTGCATCCCTATAAAGATTCCTATGAAATGGGATGTAGTCTTTCAAGTAGTTCAACCATTAATACAAACACCTAATAATTTTTTTTTGTTTTTTTAAAAAAAGGAAAGTAAGATCATGAAGTTTTAAGAGCAGTAACACTTCACCAAAATAATTTTCCCTCTTCATGCTATTTTTAAAAATATTTCTAAAACTTGTTTACATTACATGCATATTAATGTTCTAAAACTTAAAAAAGTTTTCTTCTTCCACTCTAGGAGTGTTTGAAATCTTACTAAATGTCAGAGGATCTCTCTCTGTAGAGCACATTGTGATGCATGGGAAAACCCACCCTTGTTGCCCCAAACTTTCCAGACTGACAATTAGGAAGGCATAAAAAATTAATTAATTGAAGATATAAAAATAATTATTTTAAAATTGCTGAGAAACAACTTAATTGCCATTATTCTACAGTGAGAAATTTTATCATTAAGTTACAAAAGATTGTATTTTCATTGCTGAATAATTAATTATGTATCAATGTAAGTAACAAAATCAAAAATTAAGCTACCTCTTACACATATTGAATGATTAAATTAGCATATTGAACGATTTAATCGCATTTTAATCATTCATTCAATTCGTGAATTAACAATTTAATAAATCGAATATATTTAATTATTTATTGAATTAATTATGCAGAATGTTTATTCGTTAAATATAAATTTTGAATTCTTATTTGTTTCTAATTGATGATCTGTAACAAAACTTTGCGTAGGTAGGAACCACGAACCTGTTCAACAAATGTTATCAAGTGGGTGATTGATGTTTCTTGTCGAATAAGAAAAATTAAGGATTACGTACATAATCAATCAGTGTATAATTTTAAAATAGAATTAATTAATATTACATTTTTGTATGTTCCATTTAAAATCGAACAGAATTAAAGCGATTTTAGTAAATTTCCTTTTGTATTTTTGAACTTTTATCACGTACAATCTAAACTTTAGTTTATAATTTATAATTTGTTTTATAAACCAATTTAATTTTCAATGTATAATTTACAAAATTTTGCATATTTTATACAATTTTATATCACATTTTACCGAATTTTTAAATAATTTATGTTCTTATAAAGCCCGTTTGTATACAACAAAAGCATTGACCTTTTACTAAGTCATCCGGAAAGAATGTTGAATTTTATTTGTAAAAAATGGTAATCTGAAACAACAAAGATAAGATAGAGAAGCAACGAATAAACATTTTACTCATAATAAACTAATTGAATGTAACCTTAATTTAGGTTACACTCAATTAGTTATTTGTTATTAGTAAACTAATTAAAGATTTTAATTACGTTCATATAAGTCCTTACTTAATTCAATGATAAATTATACTTAAAAGAAGAACTTCAAGTTTTTTACATAATATAATAATTTATTATTATAAATATATTACGTAATTTATTGTACATCTTAGTTTATTATGTTTACAAAATCAGAGATTTTCCTCTTCTTTTTTATAGAATAAACATGCCCTATACACTCACCACGAGACTTGTAATTAAAACATAAACAGCAATTACAAGGAGAACCGTTCTAAGCAAAACAAGTGGACAAAAGAGTCTGTGTGTATGTCTATATGTTACTCTTCGACTAAACTGTTTTCTATTGTTTCTTATATATTTTATGAATTTTCTGAAGTTTCTAAATGGTTTATATTACACGTCTGGACTAAATATAATGATAATACACATCTGTTCTTTATAAATAGTATGGTGTCAGATGATTATATTTTATTTATTTTATGTTTGTTTAATTATTTTACAAGTGTCAATACTTACTATTTTAAAACTTGATTATATTATTTGTTTAACTTAATTTCTTTCTTTAAATTCAGAAAATAAATTTTAAAAAATCTGATTTTCTAGTATTAAAAGTCAATAATTGTATTTACAAATCTTATTTTGTGCATTTTAAGCACAAAATAAGCAAAATGAGAATTTAAACTTGATTTTCTGTTATTAAAAATGACAATTCAAACTCTATTTTGTATGTTTATGAAGAAAAATTTGTATAAAAAAACTTTATTTTGACTATAAAAATATGAAAAATTTTTATGTAAAATTCGTTTTTTTTTATTTGAGATATAAAAACAGTAATGGAGATAATATTTATACAATTTTATATCACAAATGAGCATTTAAATTATTTTATTTACTGATAAATTATTAATCACGATTTATTGCATTTATTCAAAATTATAATTAAAATAAATTAATGTTTAAAAATAAAAAAATAATTATAACGGAGAAAATTTAAATCATCATTATATTTTACTGAATTTTTAGAGAAAGAGTTAATTAATAAATTATTGAAATTATTTCTGATTATTATATTATCAGTGTTTTTCTTTCATTTTAATAATTATATAATTATAGAATATTTCTTAAAACTTAATTGGTTTGTAACATTAAAAAATTACATGATTATTTTATTATATAACATATTTTAAAACAAATTTATTATTATTGTTTCATGATTTCTTTGTAAAGAAAATTTTGAGTGCAAACTTTATTCAACGATAAATAGTTTGAGTTATTGATAAAAGGAAAATTTTTAATTAAAAAATATTTATCATAATAAAAACGTATTAAAATAGAGATTTAAATTAACTCATATTAAATCCTGTTTTTATAAATATGGCCTAATTTTTTAGCGCAATTGAAGGTAGAATTTTTTAGATTAAATAACAATAAACTATTGTATTATTTTTCAAATGCAAATTAATGTTATATAAAAACATTAAATTTCNAGAAAACAGTTGTCAGTGACCCCAACCTACGTTAGTACCCTGCCTCCAGTGCCCCTCTGTCATCCACTTTCTTCTTTTTGGCCTCCTAGATTTACTCGTCACCTACAGGGGTAGTGCCCATTTTGAGAGCCCCTGATTTAAGTATTTAGCTTTCCTAAAACATTTTTATTCCAAGAAAACAGTTTAAATAAAAAAACATAATAAATAATAATATTAATATTTGAATTTGGCACCATATTCAAATAGATGAGGAAAAAATACTTAATTCTGAAATTAAATTATATTCAACTACTTCATGTATCCTTGGCTCAATATTATTACCAATATTAAAAAGCTTACTTCAGGAAGCTAAATTTTTAATTGAATATAAAATAAATCTAAATGTCATTGTTCTTTAATAAGAACAATGACATTTAGATTTATTTTATATAAATTGTAAGCTGAGGTTGTCCTAGATCAGGATGAAGACAATTACTATTATGCAATTAAAGATTTAGCCTCCTGAAATAAGCATTTTAGTATTGGTAAATTTTCTTCAAAAATGTTTTCATTCTTTTACATAAATTTATATTTTATTATTTAATATTAATACACTTCATGCATGTCTTACAAGTATGTTGCATGTTTAAAGACTGTTTTTAAAAAAATGACTTATGCCAGCAGCATAGTTTATTCCAAATAATGAAATATTAAAATTAATATAATCATAATGTTTATATAAATTTCTGAAATATATTTTCATTTCAAAGTTCTATGACAAAATTAAAATATACAGTGAAATCTTTAAGTCACTCCTT